ACCAACATAGCCCAACAAATAAAATTAAATTAAATGAAGAAAAAAAAAACCAACATAGCCCAACAACTAGAAGAAAAAAAAATAACTAAGCCTATATGGTTTGATAAGATGAGTGAGTTGGGTTAGACTTCATCAAACTATACAGGCTGAGTTAGTGCAAGATGTCTAAGACACATAACCATCCTTGCAAAAAAAGAAAGAAAAAGAAAAGAGAAAAAAAAAAATTAAAAAAAAAACCAAAAACACAGCAAAAAAAAATTGAATTTCGAGGCCTCGAGCATTAATCTTTTTTTAATATAGGATTTTTTTTTAAAAGATTTTAATGAAATGCACAATGTAATGTTTTTCTCTTTTTTTGCAATTGCAACCTATTAGTTTTGAATAAAAATTTATATTTGTTTTAGATATTTTTTAATATACAAATTATTTTTTACAGTGTAATTTTTTTTCTCTTTTTTTCCTCAATTGTAACCTATTATTTTTTTAATAAGAATTTATATTTGTTTGAGATATTTTTTTAATATACAAATTATTTTTTTAGATTTTTTATAAAAATAATTTAACAATCTCATCACTAACCATAGTGTATGAAAGAAGTTGAAAATGATGTGGCAATAGGTATGGAGTAAGGGTGGGCGCGAGTCGGTTGCGGTCACAGAACTTGCAATCCGCCATCCGTTCTCCAAATTGGCGGATTGGAGAAAATCAATCCACATCCGTCCTCCAATCCGGCGGATGTAGGTTGAGCGGATTGGCGAATAGATGCGAATCGGTTTGGCGGTTTAAAATTTTACAAATTTTCAACATAATTCAACTTGTGTACTTCCTCAAAAAAAAAAAAAAAAAGTATTACAATCAATAACTTTAAAAAAATATTACAATCATTACATGCCTCATTCAAAGAAAGAAAGTTTGAAATTTTAAAATATTACAATCACTGCATGCCTCATCCACATATTATAATCACAGCATGCCTCATCCACATAAAGTATTACAATCTGTGATTCTTAAAATATAAAAACATTTCAAACCACCAAAACCATGAATAGATCAGTAGTAGAGATTGTATACTTCTGTATTATTACATCTATATCTTTTTTTGAAATAAAAATTAACCAGCATATATCATTTTTTTATTTATTATTTTTAGAGTTAGATTTAAAAACTAAAAAATATAGATAAATAATACATTTATTTTTTTAATTCAAAAAATATATTCAAGTTGAAAACTCTTTTTCAACAGAACATATTCAATAGAATATTTAAACTTTTTTTTATTAAAAACACAAACAAAATATCTAAATAAATTGAAAATACAAAGTCTTACAAATTACTAGAGGTGCTCGCGGTTTAGCGGTTCGGTTGCAGCCAAAGGAACCTCAAATCCACCATCCGTCCAAAACTAGGCGGATTGGAAAAAAAATCAATCCATAATTATCCGCTCGTCATCACGCATCTGTTCAAAATGCGACGGATTAGTTCGGTTCGGTCAGTTTGGGTGGATCAGTATATCTACTGCTCAGCTCTAGTGTGGAAGAAGTCAAAACAACTCGTAGGTTGGGAGAAGTCAATAAATATTGAGGTTTTTTTTAAATAAAAAAATAAGAAAATTAAGATTGGGATATTGGGTTTCTCACAAGACTTGTGAGTTAGAAACTCTCTTTTCCTTAAAAATTAAAAAACTAAGATTGGGATATTAGAGTTTTTACAAGGCTTATGGGTTAGAAACCTTTTTTTCTTTATATTTGTTGTTGAATTCTATTAATTAATAGTTATTAAGTTTCAATGGTCGGGTTTCTGTTATTTGTTAGCTATCAAAGCTGAGTTCTTTGGTTTTATCTATATTTACTAATAATTTGATATTGGCTGCGTGTCAAGCCTTTACAGAAATACTTTGCACATTTTTTGAGCATTATTAATGAAATGTACAGTGTAATTTTTTTCTCTTTTTTTTTCCGCAATTGCAACCTGTTATTTTTTTTAATAAGAATTCATATTTGTTTTAGATTTTTTTAATATGCAAATTATTTTTTACACTGTAATCTTTTTTCTCTTTTTTTTCTTAATTGCAACATGTTATTTTTTAATAAGAATTTATATTTGTTTTAGATTTTTTTTTAATATAGATTTTTTTTTTTTAAGATTTTAATGAAATGCACAGTGTATTTTTTTTTTTTTGACAATTGCAACCTGTTATTTTTTAATAAAAATTTATATTTGTTTTAGATTTTTTTTAATATACAAATTATTTTTTACAGTATATTTTTTTTTTCTTTTTTTTTTTTGGCATTTACAACCTGTTATTTTTTTAATAAGATTTTATATTTATTTTAGATATTTTTTTTAGATTTTTTATAAAAATATTTTAACAATTCCATCACTAATAGTAATGCATGGGAGAAGTTGAAAATGGTGCAGCAATATGTATGGGAAAGTCAAAAAGAGTGAGTAACCCAAATCAGAGGCTAGAAGGGTCTGTTTCTTTCCATTTGCAAGTAGTACTTTCGAAAGGTTCTTTCTTTACTTGCATTTTGCAATCTTTGGTACATACATACATGGACAACTAGATGATTGAGTGTTCAAACTTCATTCTATTTCTCGTGGTTGTGCTGTTGTTTTTTTGTTGGTGTAGATGGAAGGAGGAAAATGGGAGGATTTGAATATGGATTGCTTGCTGAATGTGTTTGGGAGAGTTGGAATTGAATCACTGCTTTTAGTCATTCCCTTTGTGTGTAAGTCATGGCACAGAGCCACTCAGTCCTCCATGCTGGAAGCAACTTGATTTTTCTCAAATCCCACTTGATGATGTTGAGTTTCCATCAAGATTAATGGATGTATAAGAATTTAATGATAAGTTGGCTGTCAATGCTTTTAAAAAGTTTGTAATTAAGCGCAGTGCTGGATCTGTTACTTTTCTATCAATTCCGGACTGCTGTACAGAAGAAGCATTTCTTTACGTTGCAGATGAGTAAGTGATCTACAAACTGTCACTTTGTTTTGTAAGAAAAATCAGTTTCTATTTTTTTCTTATGTTTAGTGAGGGATGACTTTTTGTTCAAGTTTTTGGTAACCTTTGCTCTGTTTTTTATTCACCAGGTGTCCTGACCTGAGGGTTTTGCTGCTGCCTCTTACACCAGATCATGATTATAGGCATCGTTATCAACCTTATGATTATTTGCTCAATATACCATATCTTATGACTAAGTGGAAAAATTTGGAGTTTTTAAGGCTTGGAGGATCCTTTCAAATGGAAGAAGTGCTTGCCCAAATCAACATTCACTGCAAAAACTTTATTGGATTGGATATTACAAAAGCCGATATTGGGGATTTTGAAGCATTAGCTATTGTCACCCTACTCCCAAACATAAAGCAATTGTATCTGAGGAATGCAACCATGGAAAAGGAGCACCTAGTGATGATTTTGAAGGGCTGCAAAGAACTAGAGTATGTTGATGTTAGCAAGTGCATGGGCTTTGATGTATGATGATGAGATATTAAAGCTTGCTTCTCAAATCCCAGCATTCATTATTGGGGGTTTGATGTTTAATTATTATGATGTCTACATCCCTCCTTATCATTATGGTTATTATGATGACAACCCTATCATTGTGATTACTATGAAGTCTACGAGTGCCTTTCTTATTGTTCCGATGGCTTCTATGATGAAAACTACTCTGACTAATTTTTTTGTTTTAGAAACTCCTAGTCGTTTTGTTTTGTTTTACAGCTTTATTAATTTTAAATATCCACCACAGTTTGGCATGGTTTATTGTTATTGGATCTTATTAATTTTTTGTTTTCATTTACTAATGTATGCATCTCACCAGTTCTTTCTTTTTTATGTTTTATATTTTGTATCTTACAATTTTTGACTTGCAAACGGGATTTTGAAATCTTTGGGCCCGTTTGTTTTTGGTTAAGTAGATAGGAGGGGATTAGGATGGTGGATGTGTTATTTAATGTTGTGTTTATTTGTAAAGTTGGGGAGAGGATTAGGATGGTGAAGATGATATAGATGGAAGTTGGAGAGGGGATTGAGATGGAGGTTGGGGAGATGATATTAGAAAAATAGTGAGGAGATTAGAAATTTTTTTATTTTTTTTATTTGTTATATATTGGAAATTTTTTATAAATATTAATGTTTAATTTTTTATATTTTTTTATTTGTTTTATTATTTTATATGAAAATAATTTAACAATTCCTACACTAACAACTATCATCAAAACAAACACAATTTTACTTAATTTCCTTATTATCAATCCCCTCACTAATAATCCCCTCACTATTAATCACCTCCATTCTACCACTGAAAACAAACGGGGCCTATGGCTTTTTTTTATGATGCTGTGAAATTATGATGCCCATTAACTGATTTCCATCACAGTTAAATGTTGATACCATTTTCCACAATTTTCCACTAAACTACTCAAAAAGAGGTTGACAAAACAGTACCAAAATGCCAAGCAAGTACCTGTAGGTAAAGGAGAATAAATAGATCTTTTGTGCTTCTTGTATTATCCCAGTCATGCCGACATGTCAAATTCAATTCAAGCTGCCAATTGAAGCTGGTAGCTTGAGAATCACATTTGTTCTTTCAACTGTTACCATTAAAATGCAGTGACATTTTATGTAAACATCCACCTTGATTGCATTTCCAACATTTAGCTTTCGAAGTAATAACAATAGAAATCAGCATAACGATATGCACAAGCCCTGTTATCTGAGCTGAAATAGCAGATCCATTCAGTGCAATTCATCTTGTCATTGAGATGTGTAACAATCTACAAAAAAGTGTTTGCACATGTGTTGAGCGTGTAGACCTATTCACATTTGCAATACAAAATAATAGGTTATCATCCGCAAAAAACTAATGGAAAATTCCTGGGTAGCACACTCTAGCCAATTTCTAGACGGTATACATATGGTCAAATTGTCAATAATTATTTGATTCTTAAGCAAAATAGATTAATTACTGTTGCTATTAAAAGCATAATAGATGAAATCAAAAGGCTGTCAAGCAATCTAGAGTAAATTACGATTAACTGTTTAAAACATAAGTGAAGAAAACAAAAAGCCTTTATATACCCAATGTTGGTTCATATTGGGAAACATGCTAGACCACTTGCTATATCATCCATTACCTAACAATAAACCAGAGTTTTTAATACTGGAACTAGTTGACAGTCACTAAACAGACATTAAACAACCCTTAGCCAGAGCAGTAACCTTCACCATGGCAGTAATCATGATCCAAGTCCTCATAATAATCATCTTCATAGGGACCATTGTCCATGTAATAACCATCATAGTGGCAGTAATCAATATCATTGTCCTCATAGTGGCAGAAATCAAGATCCACATTGTCCTCATAGTGGCAGTAATCAACATCATCAAACAAGCATGAACCCTTATGCTTGAATGTGCGGATATGAGCAGCAAACTTCAATATCTCATCATCACCCTCATTAAAACCTATGCAATCCCTAACATCCACATACTCGAGTTCTTTGCAGCCTTGCAAAATCATCACTAGGTTCTCCTTTTTCATGGATGCATACCTTAGGCTCAAATAATTTATGTTTGGGAGTAGGGTCACAATAGCTGATGCTTCATCTTTCCAAATATAGGCACTTACAACACTCAATCCAACAAAGTTGTTGCAGTGAATGCTGATTTCAGTAATGAATTCTTGCATTTGATTGCTGTTTCCAAGTCTTAAGAACTCCAAACTTTTCCAGTTGCTTATAAGCTTTGGGATCTTCAACATATGATCATGAGGCAGAGGCAACATCAAAGTCTTTAAGCCAGGACACCTGTTGAACAAAATCTGAGTTATCATATATTTAACATAAGGGAATGCTTGTCTGCAGTTGAAATTTTAACTGGACCAGACAGTTAAGGTTTCTTAACTCTTACCGGTAAGAAACAGTTAAGAAACCTTAACTATCTAATCCAGTTGAAAGTTCAACAAGAGACAAGCCAAATCCTTGATGTAAAGCCATTTTTCCTCTCCTTTCAATATATTTTGCAACCTAAATCTCATATCTAGATAGAAACAAATGACATGGTTCCAAATAATGATGCTTTTTTTTAGGATGCAACTTCTCTTCAAAGTGAAACTGGACTGTTCAATTGAGCCTGTGGAATTCAACATGGGTCCTACATTCAATCCGTTCATTTTGTAAGTTTTTTTATGTAGATGGTTAAAACATCCCACTCAAAACCAATTGGCAATGTGTTGAGGGGCCTCTAGAGTATATTAACTAAGCTTGAGTGTCTTAGAGAGATGATATGAGACAAGTCTAACACTCCCCCGCACATGCAACTCCATAGTGTAACACTCACCCGCACATGCAACAAATGACAAATAGACTTGCCCGAAAATTTGACCCCCTAAAGACCACCCAAAACCAACTCCGATACCATGTTAAAACATCCACCTCAAAACCAAGTGTGAATAAGGTGACCAAGGGTTGGCCTAGTGAATGTCGTGAACCCTTTCCATGTGTGATATTTGGATTTAAGTTTTACCTGCTACATGCTGAAATTTTTCTCTTCCCTATTCCCTTCTGAAAATAATGGAAAAAAAAATTAAAATTACAATACCCAAGACCATGTAACATGGTATCAAAAAGCCGGAGTACTTGGGGATAGGTAGTGTGCATGTCTCTAGCGTGCACGTGACAAGTGCTATTGATTTAGCACGTGTGAGGAAGGGTGTGAAAAGAAGTCTCAGTATATAAGTGTAAGGTACCCTCATGGCCTCGATAACCAAGACCATGTAACATAGATCATCGATGAAATAAATCAATCCGTTTTAATCATAACCATTTAAACAGTTTACTTTGTAAATCATACTTAGAATGAACAAATTAAAATATTTACTACTAAAATCAAGCTAATATAGTTTGTGTAGTGAACTTACTCATCTGCAATGTAAATCAAAGCTTCCTCTGTACAACAGCCTGGAAGAGATATAAAAGTGGCAGATCTTTTGCTACGTTTGATTACATACTTGATGAATTCAGTAACAGCCCAGTTGTCCTTCAATTGATATTTATCAACTAATCTACTTGACTTGGAGCCATCATAATAAAACCATGAACCAATTGATATTGGAGAAAAATCAAGTTTATGCCAGCTTTGACGACTGAGTGTGGCTTTGAACCATGATTTGCACACAAAGGGTATGTCTAAAAGAAGTGATTCAATTCCAACTCTCCCAAACACATTCACCAAGCAATCCATATTCAATTCCTCCCATTTTCCTTCTTCCATCTACACCAATGCTAAATAACAAAGCATTATTAACAAACATCGAAATTGAGAGCTATTATAACTGTGTTTGAATCATGAATTTAGAAATAAAAATGAACCTTTTACTTTGTAACAAAAACACTTGAGAGTGTAAACAAAATACAATTATGTCATTAACACATAAAGATTTCACAAAATAAAATATACAGATGAAAGAACATGATGAGTACACTTAAATTTATTCAATAAAAATATGATCACCATTATCATTATTATATTAAAAAAATGATACTAAAATATGATAAATAATCTAAATGCTTTGAGAGAGAACCTTTAGGTATTCCTTCGAACCGAAGAGATAGAAACCCTTGTCAAGTCCGAGAGGGAGAGGGAGAGAGAGAGAGAGAACGTGTGCAACAGCAACACTGTAAGCAATCCAGGTAATAAACGCTCCTTTTACGAGATATTTTAAAATTATTTCTTTAATTTTATAAAAATTTTAGGATGAAATCAATAAATCCCATAATATGATCTTGTGAACAGTTTACCCCATAATTTCATTAAAGTAAAAATTACAAAAAGGACAGTCACTTACATGTTCGGGTTTAATTTTTTAAGGATAAAAGTAAGTTTTTTTAAATGTAAAATTACACATTTGAACAATCTGTACTATAGAAGATTTAGATTTTTCCCTTTTAGAACAAATCTCACATTACAAATAGAAATGTGATAGTCCAATAACATAACACTCTAATGTATTATTCTAATGTAATACATTAAAAAATTCTTTTGTGTACTTTTCTCAAACGTAACAATATAACACTTCAAAAAAAACTTATTAGTGTGTTTTTTTTCCAAACTTAACAACAATCTAATGTAACACACACAAAAAAAATTCTTATTATACTTTTTCCGAACATAACACTTCAATCAATATAACCTCAAATGTAAAACTCCAATGTAACACACAAAAATACTAAAAATTTCCTTAATATAATTTTTTCAAACATAACACTCATAATTTAAAATTATACATGTGCTCAAAACTTACTAATGAATTTTGTACTCTTTTTGGATGGTTTGAAGAATCTCACATCCTTTTGGAATTGTTTTGAAAAATCTCATATTCTTTTTTTGGAGTGTTACATTTGGAAAAAGTGCACCAATAATTTTTTTTTTTTTGGAGTTACATTGTAGTATTACAATAATAATTTTTTTTGGAGAGTTATGTATGAAAAAAGTACATTAATTTTTTTTTTTTTTAAGTGTTACATTGGAGTGTTACGTTTGAGTGTTATATTGGAGTGTTAAGGTTTGAAATTATATATTTGCTCAGAGTTTAGTAAGGGGTTTTTGTATATGAGAGTGTGTTTGTTTTGAGGGATTATTCCATGGGATTTGACTATTAGTCCATCCGGAATTTGCTCCGGACTCTAGACTATTAATCCCTCATATGAGGAATTATTGTATCCTAGGGAAGGGCGTGGAATTATTTCCATGGGATTGGTATCCCATGGGACAAATGTATGAAATATTCATTTTACGCTCATTGTATTACTTAATAAACAATTGAAAAATGGTAAAATAGTCTTTTGAATATGTATAAATAATTTTTTTAGTGTTGTTAATTTAAAATTATATATTAAATAAAAAATATAAATTATAAATTTAATTTAATTGAAAATAATAAATTAAAAAATATGGCCTTATAAATTGAAAAATTTTAGTGTTGTTAAATTACAAATTATAAATTATAGATTACAAATTTAAAATTATTTATTAAATAAAAATTATAAATTAAAAGGGTAAAATAGTCTTTTGAACATTTATCTTTATCCAGTCCGTCCAACCAAATATTAGATTCACTAAAAATAATCCAATATAGACATCTAATCCTATGACTAAACAAACATAGGATACAAATCCAGTCCAACCAAATAGTCTGGGGACAATGTATCCCAGGACTAACAATCCGATGGATTACAATCTCCCCTTATCCAGTCCGTCCAAACAAACACACCCGAAATGTTTGAAGAATCCCACTTTCTTTTGAAATGTTTGAGGAATTTCATATTTCAAGTCATTTTGGTACTTCTTTTAAAATGTTTTTTAAATGAAAAAGATTTTCATATAAAAATTTATTCCAAATTTGATTACCATAGATTGTGTACATAACCTTTCTAGCACAAAAAAAGAAAAAAGAGAAGAAAATATAATACAACAAGGGTATAATTGTAAATCTAATTTTTAAATAATATATTAAATCTACCTTTCCAAAATCAATGGGACTAATTGGTTTTTAAGAAAATTCTTTAGACTAAATAAATCATCATTTTTCAAAATGGGATTTATAAGTAAATTTTTCAAACTTTAACAAATGGGTACCACACTTATGTAAGTATTTGGTAAATTTATTTATTTATTTATTTATTTATTTTTTCCATAACTCTAGCATTGCTCAGACAAAAATGACATCAAAATATTAAAAAAAAATTATGTTTTTATTATTTTATTTCCAAAACTAGGAAAAATAAAATTGAAAAAACAGATCATTTTTTTAAGGGTAAATTACAAATACACCCCTTGAGATTTACTTAAAATACGAATTGTCCCCTGTGGTTTAGAAAATTACAAATATCTCTCTGTCAAAATTTTTTATTTAACAGAATTAATTGAAAAAGTAAAATTTTTAACTGTTTACCTATACAATAATAAAATTATCTGAATTATTAATTAAAATAAAATTTTAACATTATTAAAAACTATTAATTAACTTGATGATTTATTAATAAAATGATCTATTTGTTATGAAATTAGAAATCTTAAGGTATATAATGTAATTTTTAAAATTACATGGAGTAATTTATAATTTAAGTAAACCTCATAAGGTGTGTTTGTAATTTATCCTTAATTTCGATATAAATTTATGTAAATGGATTATTTGTTAAAAAATTAGATTGATTCAATAATTGTAACTATATGATTTTATCATTGTGGAAGGCAAAAAGATTCTCCACAGAGAATGCCAGATGAGATGATTCTTCCTCTATTTTGCAAGAGAAACCAACTGCTCAGTGATCACTCCCGACTAAATCGGGTAAGGAGGAACCTCCGATGATCAAGTCAGAAATATGATCGGCTGTATAATACTTGTTTAGAAAGTAAGATTTTCTATTTTCTATTTGTTACCTCCCACTTTTCTTTACTCTTCTTTTTATAATGTTATTGTCCTGTCTTGACCATTGGATTGACATCCTCATCTAAGGGCTTTGGTTACTACCAAACTTTGGTCGAGTAAGTGGCCAGGTTTCTTTGATCCTTTGCTGTTGGATTACCTTACTGTGTGTGGTTTAGATTATCTCAGGTGTTTTATGGCCAACTTGCAGATTGCTCCATCCTTCCAATTAAACGAGATATTTTAAAATTATTTCTTTAATTTTATAAAAATTTTGGGTGAAATATCAATACACCAAGGATCCTCTAGAGTTTTTTTTTTTCTAAAGTTTCCTAAAGTGGTGTGTTATATTGGTAAGATTTAATGCTAAAAAATTGATGTGACTTGTTATTAAATCTCAACCATACAACACACCACTCTAAGAAACTTTAAGAAAAAAAACTTTAGAGGATCCTTGCTCATATCAATAAATCCCCATTTTGTGAATAGTTATTCTTTCTTTCTTTTTTTTCTTATAAACTCAAAAATTTTATTAAAGTGAAAATTATAAAAGGACAATTACTTACATGTTTGGGTTTAATTTTTTAAGGATAAAAATGAGTTTTTTTAAATGTAAAATTATACATTTGAACAATCTGTACTATAGAAGATTTAGATTTTTCTTTTTAGAATAAATCTCACATTACGAATAGAAATGTGACATTCCAATAACGTAATACTCTAATGTATTATTTCAATGTAATACATTAAATAACTCTTTTGTGTACTTTTCTCAAACGTAATAATATAACAATTCAAAAAAAATTCATTAGTGTGTTTTTTTCCAAACGTAACAACAATCCAATGTAACACACACACAAAAAATTCTTATTATACTTTTTCCGAACATAACACTTCAATCAATGTAACCCCAAATGTAAAACTCCAATGTAACACACAAAAATACTAAAACTTTCCTTAATGTAATTTTTTCAAACATAACACTCATAATTTAAAATTATACATATGCTCAAAACTTACTAATGAATTTTGTACTCTTTTTGGATGGTTTAAAAAATCTCACATCCTTTTGGAATTGTTTTGAAAAATCTCATATTCTTTTTTTGAGTGTTACATTTGGAAAAAGTACATCAATGATTTTTTTTTGGGGGGGTTACATTGTAGTATTACAATAAGAATTTTTTTGGAGAGTTATATATGAAAAAAGTACACTAATTTTTTTTTTTAAGTGTTACATTGAGTGTTATATTAGAGTGTTGAGGTTTGAAATTATACATTTGCTCAAAGTTTAGTAAGGGGTTTTTGTATATGAGAGTGTGTTTGTTTTGAGGGATTATTCCATGGGATTTGACCATTAGTCCATCCGGACTTGGCTCCGGATTAATAGTCCCTCTAGACTATTAATCACTCATATGAGGGATTATTGTATCCTAGGGGAGGGCGTGGGATTATTTCCATGGGATTGGTATCCCATGGAACAAATGTGTAAAATATTCATTTTACCCTCATGCTATTACTTAATAAACAATTGAAAATGATAAAATAGTCTTTTGAATATGTATAAATAATTTTTTTAGTGTTGTTAATTTAAAATTATATATTAAATTATAAATTATAATTTAAATTTAATTAAAAATGATAAATTAAAAATTATGGCCTTATAATTTTTTTAGTGTTGTTAAAAAATTAAATTTATATATTAAATAAAATTATTTTTTTAGTGTTTTTAATTTAAAATTATATATTAAATAAAAAATATAAATTATAAATTTAATTTAATTGAAAATAATAAATTAAAAAATATGGCCTTATAAATTAAAAAATTTTAGTGTTGTTAAATTATAAATTATAAATTATAGATTACAAATTTAAAATTATAAATTACAAGGGTAAAATAGGCTTTTGAACATTTATCTTTATCTAGTCCGTCCAACCAAATATTAGATTCACTAAAAATAATCCAATCCAAACATCTAATCCTATGACTAAACAAATATAGGATAAAAATCCAGTCTAACTAAATAGTCCGAGGACAATGTATCCCAGGACTAACAATCCAATGGATTACACTCCCCCCTTATCTAGTCCATCCAAACAATCACACCCAAAATGTTTGAAGAATCCCACTTTCTTTTGGAATGTTTGAGGAATTTCATATTTCAAGTCATTTTGGTACTCCTTTTAAAATGTTTTCTAAATGAAAAATATTTTCATATAAAAATTCATTCCAAATTCGATTACCATAGATTGTATACATTACTTTTCTAGCACAAAAAAAGAAAAAAGAGAAGAAAATATAATACAACAAGGGTATAATTGTAAATCTAATTTTTAAATAATATATTAAATCTACCTTTCCAAAATCAATGGAACTAATTGGTTTATAAAAAAATTCTTTGGACTAAATAGACCATCATTTTTCAAACTGGGATTTATAAGTAAATTTTTCAAACTTTAACAAATGGGTACTACACTTATGTAAGTATTTGGTAAATTTATTTATTTATTTATTTATTTTTATTTTTTTTGCATAACTCTAGCATTGCTCAAACAAAAATGACATCAAAATAAAAAAAAAATTAAAGTTTTTATTATTTTATTTCCAAAACTAGGAAAAATAAAATTGAAAAAACAGATCATTTTTGTAAGGGTAAATTACAAATACACCCCCTGAGATTTGTTTAAAATACGAATTGCCCCATGTGGTTTGAAAAATTACAAATATCTCTCTGTCAAAATTTTTTATTTAACATAATTAATTGAAAAAGTAAAATTTCTAACTGTTTACCTATACAATAATAAAATTATCTAAATTATTAATTAAAAATTATTAAAAACTATTAATTAACTTGATGATTTATTAATAAAATGATCTATTTGTTATGAAATTAGAAATCTTAAGGTATATAATGTAATTTTTAAAATTACATGGAGTAATTTATAATTTAAGTAAACCTCATAAGGTGTGTTTGTAATTTATCCTTTTTTTTTTAATGATACCATACTGTTTACCACCCCCCAAAAAAAATGCTATTTGTTATCAAATTTATTTCACTATTTTATTTTATCTTTCATGTGTATTTATGTTAAAAAAATCATTTATATTATATGACAAACTATATTTAAAAGAATAATGACATATAAAAAAAAAACAATTGAATATAATTTTGTATAAATTATGTGATTTTTTATGATATGCTCATTTATAATCAAAGGACCTATTTTGTCCTCATAATTAGATAAATGTTATTGACACACTATTTTGAATAAATTTTTTATTTGTAAATTAATTTTAAAATAATGGAACTTACTACGCCACATGAAAAGGTCAAAAGTTCTGATAAAATATTATGATAATATATACCAAGTCTCTTACCAAAAGTATCACAACATATCAATTTTGAGCAATATTACACCTAAGTACATTTTCTAGTTTTTATTTTGGCCTTATTTGGTTTGTGTGTTGAGATGTTATTTCAATTTTTTTTTTTGAAGAGAGTTTACAAAATTTGAAAATTTATTTGATTGTATATTTTCAAAATAATATTGGAGTTTGGAATGATTTGATATATTTTTTTTTGTAGTTGAATAGATAGATATAAGAGAAAAAGTAGTTGAGAAGAAGAAAGAATAGAGAAAAAGTGATTAATTGATGTGTAATAAAGAGAAAAGTGATTTTGAAATTTAAAATAAATAAATAAAAAAAAAAAATCCACCAAACATATTTTTGAAATTTTTTTTTCACTAAAAGCATGTTTTGAGAGCTCAACCAAACATATTTATGTTTTGTCTCCGGTCCACTGTGTGGACAAGATCAATGGGTGGTGCTCACAAGAGGTACTATTTTGATTATTCAATTTGTGTTATTTTATGTTCCTAGTGTGCACATTATCTATAAAATGAAGAAAAAAAAAAATCAAATTGATCTAATAATTATAGGCATATATTTTTATTTTATTTATTTATTTTTTATGAATGATCTACATGAAACTCAAAAAGATTAATGAAATAAATAATCAAAATAGAATCATCAACGCTAGGTGTGGTGGCAAAGAGGCAACTGTGGTGAGCCAGAAGAGGTGATGGTGAAGAGGTTTGGTTTAATTCATCATAGTAGTATGAAGCTTTTGGTTCAAAGCTATGGGCATTTTGATGGCTGAGAAAGATTATGACACCTTCAAAATTCATCCACCACCATCTTTTTCCCAGGGATTGTGTTACCCTCACCTTTGTTAGTAAGATCGGTCCATTGAACTTCAGCCAAAACAATATTTGGAAATAACAAAATGTATACAACTTACCCACATTGCATATATATATATATATCGATATATTGTTGTTCATCACACACACACACACACACACAAAAAGTAAAAGGGTTTTATCTTTTAACCCATATTGCAGCTACAGCAGCAATTCTTAACTGAAACTCATCAAAACAATTAGATCATCACCATTCTCTCTTTCTCATACATCAATTTTATCAAATAGAAAGAAATCCCAAAATCGTAACACCAAAAGCCTGCAACATATTGTCTTATGAATTGAGAATGGTTTGCCACTGCATTTTTACAGATAGAATATGCCCTAAAATTTCTGTAAGCTACAAAATAAATGAAATTATCTTACATTACAGTCATAATAATGAATGCTCTTTCAATCCTACATATGATCTGGTATTTGGGACATAATTTCCACGTCAATTTCAAAAAGAAAAAAAAAAATTTCAATAACAAGTGTTTGTGATTAACAAACCCACTAAAGCACCCACAAAGAGGGTGAGAAAACAAAAACAAAAAACAAAATGCCAAGCACCTGTAAGTAAAAAAGATTAGAAAGATCATTGGCGCTTCTTTTATAATCCTTGGCTTGCCGACATGTAAAATACAACTCAAGCTGGTAGCTCAAGCTTCACGTTGTTCTTCCAGCTGCCAACCAAAAAAAATGGAGTCAGTGACATTTTATGCAGAGATCTGCCAGTGATTGCATTTGAAATATACTCAAACGTTTACCTTTGGAAGTAATAATAAAAGAAATCAGCGTAAAGCAATGTCTGCACAAGCCCTGATATCCAAGCTGCAATAGAACCATTCAGTACAAAACATGTTGGTATTGAGAAGCATGACGAAAACCACAAAAATGTGATTGCACGTGTTTGAGAGAGAGAGAGAGATATGTACTTATCCAGTGGACATAATGTGGCTCAGTGAAGTAGCGGTAGATCCAATTTAAAATATACAATGCTCGGTATGCGCTGTAGTAAGGAAAGTAGAAGAATATAAACATCTATCTCACATTCTAAAAAGAGTAACATGACAAAAGATTTACTGCAATAAATATAATATGAATTTATATAAGGTGGTAGGTAGGTACCATATAAGTGACAATCCAAAGCAATTGACATATGTACCAAAATTTTCAATTGTCAGTTTCAAACTGCTTCTAGAAAATTGTAAAAACTGGGTATATGTGTGGGTGACTGCTGGCCCAATCATGACATGATTTAGAAATCTACTCTAAATTATCAGACTATAAGAAACAAAGATAAATGGCAACTCCATGCCAGATATACCCACTAACGAAAAATGAGAACTATTTGCGATGAACAATATCAATCTGCAGTACATAAGCAGAAATCGAGTGTAATTACAAGATTATTGAGCCGCAAAATAATTGTAATACATAATCTTCACATGAGGCTTAACTGAAATCAGATGCTCGAGAATAATTTGAATCGCATGCACACAGATTTTACTGTGGCTAGTTGTGCTCACCAGCTTTAAAACTAATATCCCAGCAAGACCAACAGAGTGAGTGAATGGATGGGGAGGACCATGATATAAATGCAGAAACAAAGGTTCAGTTTCCAAATCCAATATATCATATGACTTCCTGCTCCTAAGGCCACACCCTTTTGTTTGCATAACAATGTCCAAAAAATCACAATCCACATGACATACATATTTGGATTTTGTAATTAGATTTCAATACTCACATCCATACCAATGCACCTGACACATGTACCAGAGTCCATGTAACATGCCCAAAGTTCACTATACAATCCTCAGTCTACCACTACCATTAGCTCCATGAATTTGCAACCCAACATATGTTTCCACAAGCAATCCTTCTCAACAGATACTTCCAGCCATTATCTGAGAAGTGTTTGATACACTAAAGCTAGGAATTTAATCCCATCCACCAACTTTTTACGCAATTTAAATGGAATCCAATAATAAGATGATATTCACTCAGTGGATCCATAGTCTACTACTCTTACCTCCACATAGAACCCAACACATTGTTCCACAAACAACTCTTCTCAAGAAAACCTTCATGATCTTTGGCTATGAAGAGCTCAATCCAAAGCTATGGATTCAACAGCACCCACCAACTTCCTCAGGCAACTAAATGGATAACACTTGATTTATTTCTTGTTTCCCAACACACAATCACGTAAACAGAAAAAATAAATATAAATAAACAAGAAACAAGAAGTGGGGAAAAAGGGAAAAAAGGATCCCCAAAACTCCAACGATCTCATGCCAATGAAGTTTGGCAATCTAAAAAGTTTAAAGGACAGTGCCATACGGCCCCAAATAATCTACTACAGTGGACTCTCTTTTTTATTAGTATGGAAAAGTCATCATAATATGAAAATTTTATGTCTCATCTAGAGGTTGAAGAATCATTTCATGAGCTCCACATTCTTAACCTGCTACCAGAGGTTTGATCGTTTTCATTAAAAAAAGCAACAAGGGAAGCCAAAAAGTCCAATGCAAACTCCCCCAAGGAGGAGGTAGCTTGTAGGGATATCCAGATGTTCAGAATATGATTCGCCTACAACTTTAAAACCAATGCTTCAAAAAGTAGAAGAGGGACTAGGGCATAAATTGGAAACTGGAAAGCCATTAATATTGCATTTAACTCACAGGTGAGAAAAATATGAGAAACAGGGTCAAAAGATTAACCCTCAAATACAGTTGGGAAATTCTAAAATTTGCAACTCTTCTGGACTGTCTGATTAAAACATGAACAGGACAGGACGGGTGGTGACTTGGTGACTTGGGGTGTGTGTTGCTCGGGACGGGTGGGTCATTCTCATGTTTGCGGGTTATGGAAAGGGATTTGGTTGGGTCGGGAAGCGTTTTGGCGGCGCGTGAGGTTCAAAATTGGTGTGGGGGATAGAGTTCGATTTTGGCGGGATAAGTGGTGTGGTGACTTGTCTTTAGAGTTTCGTTTTCCTTTGATATTTGCTATTGCTGCGAATTCTGAGGTGTTGGTGAGTGCTATGAGGGTTGGGGAGGGGCAGTTGAGGGTGTGGAACGTGCAATTGCGTCATCATGTCCAAGACTGGGAGTTAGATCAATTAGTGGACCTCCTTGGTTTTTTATATGGTTTACATCTTGGACAGGTAAATAATGATGCCTTGGTTTGGGATTGTCCCAGGGCCAAAGGTATTTTCACAGTGTCTTCGTTCTATGGGGCGCTTGTTGAGGATAAGTGTGTTATTGATGGCACCTTCGTTTATCCGTGGAAGAGTGTTTGGGTGCCAGGCACGTCATCCAAGGTTGCCTTCTTTTTGTGGACGGCGAGTTTGGATCGTATCTTGACTATTGATAATTTGATTCATCGTGGGTATATTTTGGTGAATTGGTGTTGCTTGTGCGGTCAGGCTACGAAATCGGTTGACCATCTGCTTATTCATTGTTCGGTCTCTTCTCGTCTTTGGATGCTTGTGGTGGCAATGTCTGGGATGGTTTGGGTTCAACCAGGTTCTTTGTTTGCAGTTTTGCAAAGTTGGGTCGAGGGAAAGGTGGGGAACAGGCGTCGAAAGGCTTGGATTCTTGCCTTGCATTGTTTACTTTGGCTGATTTGGTTGGAGCAAAACAAGCGGGTGTTTCATGGGGTGGCTCATTCCATCACTTGGTTAGAGAGGCGCCTTCTTACTGTTCTGTATAGTTGGGTGATAGGATTAGTGGATCCAGATGTATTGGCTTTTACAGATTTTGTGGAGAATTTGATTAGTTAGTTTCGATGGGCTCTTGAGGCCGTTTTTGTATTCTTTGCGTCTTCTTGATACTTTTTAATAAAGTTTGATTATTTATCAAAAAAAAAAAGAAAAAAAACATGAAAAAGCCAAGTTGACTAAAGCATGGTCTACTTTCATGGAAAACAATTTTTACTAATGCTCTTAGTTATCTGAGGCGGCTTCACCCAGGAAATTGTCAGCTAAATCTTGTCTACTTTGACAACACAAAATAAATAAGCAATTCAACCACTGTTGCTAGTTCTAATAATTGTTCCTGCGTATTTATTCCTAATGATTTTAACAGCCAAAACATAAGAATGGGGGATAATATTACCCAAGGAGAAAAACATATTGCCCGGTCAAGTTGTCAATATTTCTCGTCCTTTGCAACAAGACCAGCTGAGGAAGTATGGCAACAGCTTCTAAATATAAGGAAAATGCCCACATCACCTGCTCAATCAAATGGAGTAGAAGATATGGTAGGGAAAAAAAGAAAAAAATAAGAAAAAGATCATGAATTTATGAGTAACACAATTCATATGAATTTAAAAAATAAAATAAAATCAATATGGCACTCAGCGTTGATGGAATAATAAAAAACGAACCATAAAAATATTTAAATGGAATGGCATGCATACCTCTTTGAAAGTGAATTTCTCATGCATGACTAGAGCCAAAAGCAAACAAGGCAGCACAAGAAAATAATGGCGAAAGGTGTCTTGGTCTTTATCGTAAGATCTGCGGACAATCTTGTGGTGCCTTATGTACCAAACAATTGAGAAAGAGCTCCCCAAGAATATTAACTTCATGACAGTATTGTAAAGTGAGATATAATCTGCAAATATATCCAAGTAGCGAGTTGCAAAGACAGTAGCATAGAGCTCTTGAGTCTTCAGTGAAACACCTGCATACAACAAAGGAAGTTCAAATCAAAATTGCAAAAAGATGTTAAGAGAAATAAGAAGATTTTGCTATGCCATGGTTTCATAGAAGCTATACATTCTCAGACAAAAATTAAGCGAAAAGGGTTCAGATTTCTAGCTAGATACAAATTATATTAAACTTGACATTCTGTTTGCTCTAGTTTTATATTTCATTTGGAGACCATGAAATCTGTAATTTGGGTCAATGCAAAGTAATTAAATTCAAAACCCCATCAAAATATGGTGCAAAAAAACTGGGTTCAGCTGAAATGAATCCTTTTTCCATTGTTTCAATCCATCAGGGACCATATCTTCTAATAAATGATAAAGCACCATGAATTTCTCCGTGCCTTAAAACCAACAAAAAAAAATTTTCCTCTTCTATGAAGTCTCCTACTTGAACCAAAATAAGTAATTACACATGGAGAAACCACCAATACTTATATCATAAAATTAAGCTTCCCGTAACTTCAGAGGATATGAAGTTTTAATGTCTCAGCCTCCTCAACATCCACATTTCAGCTCCAATTTTGTTCACAACTTGGAACAGTCAATCACTTGTCCCAATACACACCCAAAAGACATTCAGTTATTACAAAACCTAACCTAATGACCTCGCAATATTAACCTCAAAAATGCTACTCACCTAAATTCATTACAAAGAAATAAACAAACAAACAAGGGGAAACAACTTATAAGCTCACACCCACTTCTCTACATTAATACCTCAACTTCTTTCCATCAAACCCATCTCCCATTTGAGCTATAAACTACTTTACAAGTCAGCTAAAGACTACTCAACAACCCCATCTCCAAAACCCCACAAAATTATCAATAAATTCTAAAAACCCTCTTTTTAAACCCCTCAAATCTACAAATAAAACAAAATTAACCATAATTCAATAACATGAAAATGTAGAAATATATACAGAAAATAACATATGAATCTATAATGGGTGGGAAAATAGGGAAAGGAGACAAACCAGCGCAGGATTTAATGGTGTGGATCTTGAGAAGCAAAACGAGGACACTTGCGAGATGGGTCATGTCACCAACTAATCTGAATATATTCATCTTTTTTGATTAACAGGAGACTCAAACCCAACGGAGATCTGCCCTGAAATTTTTCCCACCAGATCTCCGATTGATCCTACGAACAAAACAAACAAAATTTGTCCTTTATTTTCTCTTTTCTTTTCTTTTCTTTTTTTTTTCAGGGTAAATTGCATTTGCACCGACTTTTTTGATATTTGAAAAAATTGTAATTAGCCCCCCTAGTATTTGCATAATTACACAAATTCTTCTCTACTAACAAATCTTAACATGGGTTTAAATTTACTTTTTTTTACCTTTGTATATTTGTATCAGATTATTTTGGATAAATTACACTAGTCTCTTTTGAGTTTCATTTTAATATAATTACACTAATTTCCTTTTAATCATAATTTTTATAACACTTTTAATTTTATTTTCATCCATAATTGCTGACTTGAATAGATAAACAAAATAATATTATTATCTATTGGGAGATTTACCAATAAATCCTACTTGTTGATATTATAATCCAATTAGTCCCAAATGTTTTTTCATGCTCTATTTAGTCCTGTTTGTTGTGAAAGGACCCAATTGCCATTAGTATGTGTGGACTTTTCACGTGATACATGGCTTGCGCGTGTGTCACAGATCAGGTAAAATGGCATGAGATTTGCCACGTGTCACACATTGGGCTGTTACGCACGCGAAAAGTTTAGTAACAAACTTCCCCACTGATAGGACTTACCTGAACAAAAGAAAAAAGTTGGGACTAATTGGTTTAAGAGTTTGTCAAATAGGATTTAATGGTAAATTTCCCTTATCTATTTTATACTAAATGTATATTTTACTCTTATTTATCTTTATATGTCCAAACCATTGAATTATTTTCTAGTCAATTTACCATAATAAAAAGAAAATTAGTATAAATATATAAAATTTATTGTATATTCTCTTAACTTCAAAGATGGTTATCATAATTTATCTAATTATCTTTTTACTTTGAATCTTTTATAATTTCTATTGCTCTTCCTTTATTCTCTCCATTTCACATTTCATGCTCTTAGCTACACCATAACACCCTCACCCCCACGTTACCATCTATTTTTTATCAACACACTTTCACCATCTATTATTATATAGAGCATCTCCATGTCCACCCTATTTTCCCTTTCCAACACCATACAACACAATTACTAACACTCCCAATAGGGTGAAAAAAATAAAATTGAAAATATTATTCACTAATATTAAAAAATTTTACCTCTTTTGTTTTGTTTTGTTTTTTTTTTCTATTTTTGAAATACTTTTCACCTCAACATAATTACCAAGCAATGTCTTAGAGCCACTTGTTATCAGTTACTTCTCCTTCTTCTATAGAACTCACATTTAAAATATAAAAATACACATATATATGAAAATATTAATAAGTAAATAAAATACTTAAATTTTTATCTAAAAATCTCATTATGTCAGTTTTATCTTTCATGTCTTTAACCTTAAGTAAAACACCACCTCATGTCCCGTCAAATGAAATCATAACTTACATGAAATGACAAAAAGATGTGTGTGTCAATTTTCGACCACACTGCCAATCAAGCACTCAGCTGGAAAACACTGGCAGAATAGACTAAGCCTGAGCGACCTGCAACAGAAAGAAGAGATCTCGGCGGTGGCTAATCCACCCGGAGGCACTCCGACGATCAAGTCAATTATCTCTCAAAGATATCAGAAGTGCTCAACTCACTATTCAGAATACCAATTACATACCTTAGACCTATGGGAATACCTCTCTTTTATAGCAAACTCAATCTTAGTCCCAATAGAAGCCTAGCTCTAATGGACTTAGGATTACTGCTAATCTTGGACTCCTAGTAAGATTAGAATAAACCCTCTAAGAGTCTTATCTTTACACAAACTAAAGTCTTCTTCCATTCTAGGACTCTTGTCCCTTATCCACTTTATCTCAAATTCTGGTATTGCCGCAGAATATCTCGACAGTGCCCCAAATATCTCGGCAAACATGATCTGCCCACGTAGCACTTTGGCTAACAACCTCGGCCACGTGGACTACCCAAAAAATATGTCCCCACAACTGTCTCCTAGGTTCTATTACCTCGACAAACTGAGGTGATGGAACCTATATTATCTCTTTCATCTAGCACGTCAGCTAAGCTCGCTTCATCATTTATTGCCGAAGTCAGAACTCGTCGGCTCAATATGACTCAGATCTACAATCTGCTTTTATCAAGGCTTTGGAACCAACGACCAAATTCGTTCAAGTTTCTCAGCCGAAACTGTCCTTCTAGCCGAGGTATTTGTTTCATTAAATCAAGAACTTCAAGAGTTTCTTCATGCGTATGAGCTAGCACGTACAATTTTTCAACCGTTTCTGCCACGCATCTTTCCTCTACTGAGTCTTGTCTGATACGCGTCATTAAGTCGCCTTATATCTGCGTATTTGATCGAAATCTCTTCACTCTCTCCGTCTTTTCACTTCTGCATCTTCGTTTTTGTTTAAACTTTCTCTTTCAAATCCTCTATTGCTGCTTTTGCGAAGCTTTCTGCAACCAGTTTCACTCTCTCCTCTGGCGAGGCTTCTGCTGCACTTCCTTACTTACGGCCACCGTCTGATCCCGGCAAACTTTACTTCGGCTTCATTGCTTTTCTCGTTCATGTTGATCATTTAACTTGTACCTTGAATTTCACCATGTACTAAACATGTACTGTCTTTGTACCTTGTATTTTCTCAAACAATTTATTCTTCAATGTCAGGCCGAAGTGCCTTCTTTCCTTATCTGAATGCATTTTTTAACTTCATGTTTGCCCTCTTCTTAATGCCTTGTATGATTCCATACTTAGAATACAATTTGCATGTCTTCAACATACACTTTAACTATGCAATCTCCCCAGGTTAACATACTTCGGACAAAACTTCCGACCTTGCTTATCTCGGTCTCAATTTAACACTTGAAAATATTGTAACAAGTATTTTCACAAGTATTGCTTTTACTTCTTAAGACTTCTGTCTTCCATTATCTTTCAAGTCATTGTAACATAGTCACCTCAGCACGTGTATAGATACTTCTATAACCTTGGTTTTAACTTCAACTTGTAAATTTTCTCAAAATTTCAACAAGTGTTAAATCAATCAACAAGTGTTAAGCATGATCTCGGTTTAACTTCAACTTGTAAATTTTCTCAGAATTTCAACAAGTGTTAAACATGATCTCGGTTTAACTTCAATTTGTAAATTCTTTCAGAATTTCAACAAGTGTTAAACATCATCTCGGTTTAACTTCAACTTGTAAACTTTTTGCAAGTTTCAACAAGTGTTAAACATCATCTCGGTTTAACTTCAACTTGTAAATTCTCTCAGAATTTCGACAAGTGTTAAACATGATCTCGGCTTAACTTCAACTTATAAATTCTCTCAGAATTTCAACAAGTGTTAAATCGATCTGGGCTTGAAAATTTCAACTCCCAAGCATCATTCTCCAGCCTTCTATATGGCTTCCACTTACTCCTTTATGGAAAAAAGTTTTTAACTCAGGCTGTGCTTTTCTCTTCTCAGATTTAATCATCTGGGTCGAGATCTTGCCTTCTGGAATCTGGGATCTGCTTACTTTAGACTAAGCTCTTCTTTTCTCGGACCTAATCATCTAGGCCGAGATTGTGTCTTCTGGGATTCTCCATGGCCGACCTCCCGCAAAGGCCGGCAAGAATGTCCCTTGGTCTCGTCGTGCTAAGGGACTGCAGGAACTATGTTTTGCCCCCCTTTTTGGGCATCTTTCTTGGCCGCTGGAATCGACGTATCTTGTAAAGGGAACGGTGGCTGCATGACGTTGTTTTGCATCATGAAATTGATGACTGATTGTAGGTCTGCCAATTTATTCGCCATCTCTTTCACCTCTTTGTCCCTCCGCAGGCATCTATCTTTTCATACCTGGAGGTCGTTCTCATTGTAATACTCGCTTCGATCCAATTTCTTTGGTATGTCGTCCTTCTGGCCGACGTCTTTCTTTCCATGATTCTGGTCTCGAGTCTCCTCGTTGCAACCATCTTCCTCCATGTTAGGGGCAACGTGATTACCGTTCCCAACAGGAATTTCATCCTCAACCTTATCATTCTGTCCATCGTTGGCCATCTATTCTTCTTTCTTTCCCACAGACGACACCAAATTGTGTGTGTCAATTTTCGACGACACTGCCAATCAAGCACTTAGCTAGAGAACACTGGCAGAATAGACTAAGCCCAAGCGACCTGCAACAGAAAGAAGAGATCCCGGCAGTGGCTCATCCACCCGGGGGCACTCCGACGATCAAGTCAGTTATCTCTCAAAGATATCAAAAGTGCTTAACTCACTATTTAGAATACCAATTGCATACCTTAGACCCATGGGGGTGCCTCTCTTTTATAGCAAACTCAATCCTAGTCCTAATAGAAGCCTAACTCTAATGGATTTAGGATTACTGCTAATCTTGGATTCCTAATAGGATTAGGATAGACCCTCTAAGAGTCTTATCTTTACCCAAACTAAAGTCTTCTTCCATTCTAGGACTCTTGTCCCTTATCCGCTTTATCTCAAATTCCGGTATTGTCGCAGAATACCTCGGCAATGCCCCAAATATCTCGGCAAACATGATCTGCCCACATAGCACCTCGGCTAACAACCTCGGCCACGTGGACTACCCAAAAAATATGTCCCCACAGAAGACATGAACTTTTAACAATCGAAAAGTCTAGGAATACAAAGGACGAAACATAGATTGGAGCACAAAAATTGTGTATCAAATCATCTGCTTGGACGTTCGGCCAGACAATCGTCGGAATGACCAGTCAAATCTTATCAACCGCGACTGTCATGGTGTCGAAAGTGACTATTATGGTGTCTCCCGATCATTTGGGCGGATAATCGGTGAATAGTTTTTGTGTTTGGTTTGTTGGAACAATCTTCTGTGTAAATAAAATAACTTGAAATAAATTCAAACAAAATAAATAAATAACATACCAGATTTATTTATCGAAACGAATTAAAATTAAGACCAAGTCGAGTGTGTGACACTCTGTCCTTAAGACAGATTCGCCCCGCTACGGTGCTTATGGTTGAGTGGCGTCTATCTCCCAGGATACAATGATCTTCACAAATTGTAGTAGCACTCCAAACAATTT